CTTTCCCCATCCCAAGTGCTACTTACCTACCTAAAAGCATAGTTGAGCTTGGGCTGAAGGGTCAGACAGTACTAGCCTGACAGATTCTTTTGACCAGGAAACATGGCTAAATTTTGATGGGGTGTAGACAGCACTGTGTACTTACATCACATAGGGTCCACACTCTTTTCCTGTCTGGTACACATATAGCTCATATTAGCTATCCAAGTCAATTCACTGCTTGCAATGTTTTTCTCAAATTATACATCACGAGGCAAGTGCAGGTTTAGCAAAGGGTCACTCCTTGAGATATAGTTTAGGTTAAAGTGTAAGAAGCATATTTTAATATTTATGGTGCAATATCTGATAGGAATAAAAATGCTCTATGATTTTTTTGTAAACAGAAAACCAAGCTCAAGAGCTCTGCCACTATATGGCTCTCAGAGAATGAGAATAACTTAAAACAGGGCCTGATTTTTCTCTTTCAGGTAACTATTCATCCCTGTTACTACAGTGTCTGCTTTTATCTTCACCAGCACCCCTCAGAAGTTCATTATCACCATTTTACAGAGAACTGAGGTGCCAAGGGACTGAGTTTCCCAGTGTCACCCAGAGTCTGTAGCAGAGCAGGATATAGTTCTTCAGTCCACTGAGCCCCCAGCTAGCAGCCTGACCACAAGACTATTCTCTCTCTTCCCCTTCTTTCACAGAGGTGCACATCAGGGGCAACTCCAGTTACATACTTTAAGTTACAACGGTGCACAAGCAGTGTAATTCAGGACAGGACAATACCAATAAAAGTAAAGCTGACTTGTGAAGTTTCCTTCTACAACCCAAGTGAAAAGCAAGAAGCAAATGCAGCCCAAGGAAATGAACCCTTAACAATAATGTTTTTAAAAGTATGTTTTAATCATCTTTGTTTCTGATACTGCAGACAAATAATAATAATAAAACCTTAATGACCATTTTGGGGCAGATCACTGGCTACAGCACATTGGATGGCAGGAACATTATTTTCCAATTATTCTTACCACCCGCAAAAGTACTTTCTATTGAAACTGTTGCTTTGAGATGCCCAAATACTTGTGCTCCAAGCTATTCTTACCTCCCTGTACTCATTTCTCCTTTAATTTGGCTCAACCCATAGTCATTTCTGGGCTGCAGTACATTTTTTCTGACCTACTAAAGAGCACTAACATCATGTACTGCTGAGCAAACTAAATAATGCCACTACCATCAAACAATTCAAGACATGGTTTCCTATAACTTTGTGAGTTTTCCCTCATTTTCAATATTCCAGGGGGTGAGGGGAATATGCTCAGATCTACACAAATGTGGTTGGGAACAGCGGACAAACTTTACTAATAGCCTACATGGTGTCAAAGTTTGAGTCTTTGGCTATAGGAGAAGCCCACAGGGAGCAAGAACTGAACAACAGATCTGGTTACCTGGACTAAAGTTTCAGGATGATGAGAACTACAGATGTGTCTATCTTGGGGGCCAGATTCTGACCACAGCTTCCCTAGTCTAAATCAGGAGCAAATATTCTAAAATGAATTAAGTTATTCCTAATTTAGAAACTGATTCAAAGCCCAATGAAGCCAATGAAAATCTTTCTACTGCCTTCAATAGGAAGTGGATCGGGCCTTTGCAGCAGTGTATCAAACATCCAAATGTATCCCTCAGAAAATTTTTGCACAATTTCCACCAGTCCAGTTACACTGGAGATGCTATCATACAAGTCCTCACTGAGGCATGTAGTCCCACTGCCTTAACTAGGGTATTGGCATAAGCAAGGATGACTCATGTGAGGAAGAGTTATACAATCAGCTTGGCATTATGGAAGAGCTAGGGAAAAATACTTTCCTTTCCCAGCTTTCTTCCAGGTGCTTAGGTTTCTGGGTGGATCCAGAAATAGATGAAATATTAGAAGGTGGGATCTCAGTTATTCACCCTGAGTACTAATGCTGAGCTTTCTAAACTCACCCAAGCACCAGCATGATCTCAAGCACCATGAAAGCTAAAAAAGGGAGTAGAGGGGATAGGGGATCCCCACTGTCTCCTATACAAGATATTTAAATCAAGCACTAAAGCTCCAGAGGAATCAGAGTAAATAGCGGCCTTGCAAACTGCTGATAATAACCACCGACACCAGCTAAAGGAAAAGCAGTAGCATATTGCAAGTGGCTGTTGAACAGGGACCTTTGCACTCCTGGGCTTCAGATCACTGCCTCTCACCAACTCATGCCCAACAGCAAAGTGGGGGGAAAAGATAGGGATACCTGGACCACTTTGCTTCTAGAAGTACACCCATTGCTTCCAAAACATGTGTTTAAAGGCCCCCCCCGCCTTGGAAATTTAACAAGCTTTAATCTCTATCACCATGATCTTTCTCTCAATAATTTTTTTGGGCACACATGAGTCTGAGGCAATCTGCAAGGCTGCGCTCACATAAATAGCCTTGCTGAAACCAGCAGGAGTATTGTTACCATTTTCATTCCCATTACAGCAGACCCTGCAACCAGGATCTGGGCCTCCCTGTGCCTGGTGCTGTACAAGTATGGAGTGAGAAACAGCCCTGGCCCAAGGGAGCTTCCAGTCTAATCAGAGAAGGCAAAGAGGGGGACAAAAGCAGTGTTAGTAGATAGGGATAATAGGGATGGTCCTGCCTCAGGCAGGGGATTAGGCTAAGATGGCGCCTGGAGGTACTTTCCAGCCCTGCTTTTCTATGAGTCTATGACTTTAGGACAGGTGTGTAAGCTTCATTAGTTGTCTTTAAATCTGTCATGACAGATAACCTTGAAACAATCCCTAAAGTTCCCAGAGTTGCTGCCTGGAACAAGCCGTTCATTCTCTAGTATGGGGCTTTGCTTGCTCTCTACGGGCACTATCACAACACATCAGTCTAGTCATGAGCCATCACCCCCACATGCTCAGCACTATCAATGCAGAGTCAAAAGACAGTCCCTGGCCCAAAAGTGAAGCCCTTAAGGATCTGTCCGTACTGGAATCAGAGGCATGCACATGCCACGCTAGCCATCACCTCTCTGGTCCCAAAACAGGGGAACACGCATTGGCACAGACAGGCAAGTGACCACAGCAAGTCCCAGCAGGTGAAGCTTCTTCACTGCCATTGTACCTCAGGCCAGCAAGCCCCCCTGGGCTACACTTGCTGAACCACAGTGCAAAGGGGCCCTGAAAGAGCCCCTCGCCCCTTCAGCTCCAGAGGAAAGCAGGGAAGGAAGGGAGCAGGTCAGGACCTGCAAGGGACGTGCTTCTTTCCCACTCCGGGATCGCCAAGCAGAGCGGAGTGTCCCAGTGGCGACGCGCTGCCTCCCTATGGGCTCAGGGCAGCGGGGCTCCTTCTCCCCCAACCCCGGCCCGGCCCGGCCCGGCCAAGCCCGTGCTGAGCCGGCAGCGAGAAAGAAGCAGAGGCGACGGGGCGGTGGCAGCAGCCGGGGCTGCGGGGCATTACCTGCAGAAACCGGGCCTCTCCCGGGGCCGCAGAGGAGCTCCGCTGCCGGCTGTGGCTGTGGGGGAGCCGCCCCCGGCGCCGAGGACCTTCCCGGACAGGGGCTGGGCTGCGGCTTCCCGGAAACTTTGGGCGCCGCCCCCGGAGCGCGGCTCGCGGCGGAGGCAGCGGGGCCGGCGCGGGACACTTACCGCTCTGCTCCTCACGGCGCCGGCATCCCCGCGGGCACGGAGCACGCAGCCCCGGCCGGAGCAGCCCGTGAGGGGCCGGGCCGCGGATTAGTGGGCAATCATCGCCGCCGCCCCTTCCTCCTCCTCGCCCGCGGCGCAGGGCAGGCAGCGGCTGCCGCTCCGCTCCCCGGCCCCTTCGGGCGAGCCCCGCCGCCTTCATCGTCCTCGCTTTCATTCCCGCGCCAAAGCCGGGCGGCCCCACCGGTCTTCCGCGCCCGGGGCAAAGTGGACATCTTGGCGCGGGCCCCTGACAGCGCCAAGCCTCCAAAGGGGACGTTGCCAAGAAGCTGGCAGGTCAGGGGAGCCAGGCCGGGCCCCTGAGAGTCCTGGCTAGAGCTGGGGGAAGCCGCGTGTTGCCAACGAGAAGGGGGATGGAGGCCCCAATCTCACCCTCAGCTCTATTTGAGTGCTTAAACCAGCTGACTGCATTGGGGCCTTCACTGGTTCCCCTTCCCAATGGGCCTGGGGACCAGCTGGCTGTTTGTCACAAGTTCAAACAGCCACCCAACAAGCATGTTTTTTTGTGGACAAGCAGCAGGCTCCGTATTTCTGGTGAACCCAGGAGTCCTTCAGTGGTTTGCCACCTCATCGGTCACCCAGGGCACATGGCATTGCTCCTGGTCTCCACAGCCCTCTGGGTTGGAGCATCTAACCTTGATAAGCTACATTAGCTGTTACCACACAGAAAAGGGATTTGGGGGTCATCATGGGCAGGTGGATAAGAACATCAGCTCCATGCATCAGAAAGGCAAACAAAATGTTAGGGATAATTAATGAGGGAATTGTAAACTAAATGGAAAGTATCATCATGCCCCTTTATAAATCGGTGGTGCATCCACACCTTGAACACAGTGCCCACATATCAAAAGATATAGAAGATCTAGAGAACGGCAACAAGGATGATCAGTGGTATGGAAGGGCTGCCATATGAGGAGAGACTAAAGAAGCTCGGCCTATTCAGTTTAGAAAAGAGACACTTGAGGGGGGCCATCATAAGGGTTTACAAAATACTCGGTGGAAAAGAGAAAGTCAATAGGAATTTATTATTTACTCTCTCCCAATACAAGAACTAGGGGTCAAAAGGAAACAAGTAAGTAGTAAGTTTAAAGCTAACAACAGGAAGTTGTTTCTTCACACAAAATGTCATTAAAGTGTAGAATTCATTGCCACCAGATGTTGGGGAAACTGACAGTTTATGCAAACTCAAAAGGGACTGGACAAATTCTTGGGGAAAAGGGCATCAGCAGCTGTTGAGCACAGGAGGTAGGGATACTGCCTCTGAATTAGAACCTCCTAAAGCAGCAGTTCCCAATCTGTGGTATGGGTACCACCTGTGGTACACACACAGCCTGTCAGTGGTACACGTTAACAGATTTATTATCACTTTATATGACAAAAATTTGCTGGTGGTACTTAAGGTTGTATCGTTTTTACTTGGTGGTGCACAATCTGTCAGAGTTTGGGAACCGCTGTCCTAGACTGCAAATGCTGGAGGCTACAACAGAGGGGGATGGTGGAACCTGCTCAGACCCAATTCACTCTCCCTCTCAGCCTCCGCTCTCTGCCACCATGACAGGACTATTCCAGACTGAAGATCAGGTACCCACAACCAAACTTAAATTCACAACCTTTCACATGGTAGGTCAGCACATTGCTCACTAGTCCACAACATGGGCCTCCACTGTGTGACAGGATATTAGACAAGATGGACCTATCGTCTGACACAGTAAATGGCAGTTCTTATGTTCTTGACTGCTACTGCCTCAAACGCTACTTTTCTATTTGAATAACTCTCTCCTTCTATCCCAAAATTCACCTTCCAGGGATTAGAGTTTGTTTGCATGGTGGTTCTCAATGGGCCCCATGTCCCATTGTGAGATGAACGCGTTTCCCAGTGGACTATTGGGTATTGTGAGATGGGTCCCTCTTGTGGCCCTGTTGCCACGCCAAAAATCCCAGCCTGAATGGGAGAGATCTTCCCATGAAAGTTTCACCAAAACTGATATGTTGCCAAAAATAATAATAAAAAATAGGTTTCAATATATCAGCATGTTCTAACACAAAATGATTTAGGCAAAAAATTCCCCACCAGTTCTAGTTCCCACCCCTTCTGATTCACTTCTTACAAACAGGGTCAAAACAAAATCCTATTTGGAAACTGCTGAACTACTACTGGATAATTTTCTTTGCTATTCACCCAGCTGTAATGCATTTTCTTTGAAATGATGCACTGCACAGAAATGATGTGGCTCAGCCTAATAGGAAGAATTCTGGTCACTTTCTCATATGCTGATTCCAAGTCAGTTTAAAATTAGCACAGCCATTTTCTTGTTATATTGACACAGAAGGGTAAAATTGGTCTCTACAGCATTCCTGCTGCTTTTAAAAAATAAGATCCCTAAAGGTAAAATTCACGCTTGCTAGCATCTGTATAAATCCTAAATAAATGGGGTTGGTGGGAGGAAACTAACAGGGGTATTGGAGGGGGGCCAAAATTCATCCCACGCTCCTTAGGAAAGGCTGTGAGACTTTACTACAGCCCTTCTGCAATTCCTGCTCCAGTAAGTGAACAGCTTCCTAGCATATAACTTCTAAAGAACACCTTCGATTTTGCCAGCATGTGCACAGTTAACGTGGAACTCAACTCTGGTGCGTCATAGCCTGCCTTGGGCACAGGTGCCCAGCCTAAGGCTGCCCACCACTGGGCCTAGTACTGGTCTTCTGCCAATGGGTGAATTGCAACCTAAAAGCATGTTTGCAAGATGAGGCTTCAGGGCATCGCTCTGTCACCTCTGTGCTGTGCCTGGATGAACCATTGTGAAGGGAACCCCACCCACTAGTTCCCACTCCATCTGTGCCAAATCCTGGCAATGAGGCTATGTCCTAAGTGTGTTGAGTGGCCTACCATCAGCACCACTCTAACACAGCTCTGTTGCCTCATTTCCAGAACTGGAGACACGGGCAGCAGGAGTGAGTGGGCAGGGCATGCTTCAAAGCAGTCTTCCTGGGAACAACACCATGGAGGAGTAGATGTGCCCCTAGTGTTTCAAAGGGTCCTGGCAGCTCCACCTCCTGGGTGAAGCTCTCTGTGGGTGTTTATGCATCAATATAAAACCTCACATCACCTTTACACATTAAACACCAGTGCCAAACCCACCACAATGCACTGGGTGAAAATAACACAACTCCCTCTTTTTGCAGGTCTGAAAGCAGCTTTCAAGCGATATGTTCAGTACAGTGCATAACCTCTCCTGAAGGAAACCAGGCTACTGTGGTTCCAGGTATCCAAAACCTGTTATTTTCCAGCCTCAGCAACTCCTGCCACAAGGATGTATGCTAAGCAAACACTAAAGGAGACTTTTCTTTTTAAATTGCTACAGCCATGTGCAAATACCTAGGCAAAGCAAATACCAGTCCTATGTGTCACCAAAGTCAATGCCAAATTTCCTATGACCTTAACGGAACCAGGACAATGCCCTGCATTCACCTAGAGATCCAAAGCATTAACTCACCCTTGATCATTCATACTTGTTTTTCAAAGACAACAGCTTCCATGGAGGCACATCAGTAAGGGCCAGCTTGTCAAATATACCCAACACCTACCGTGTCAAACTCTTCTGAAAAGCCAGCATCAGTAGTGCATGCTGAGCTCTTTGAAAACTGTCCCTATATTGTATCTTGAATAATCACCACCAGGTTTCCCATTTCCCAGCTTGGAATCATAAGCCAGTGATTCAGTTTGTAAACTAGACATTAGCATAGTGGGGTGAGTCATATTCCAACCATGTTGGTTTAGGGAGGTCAGCCCCTTCTTTTCAGCTAAATAGAGTGTTTTCCTTGTTTTTGTTCCATTCCTCCAAAGCCTCCCTATGTCCACTGTATTTCAAATGGATTTGGAAAATGGAATCCTTATTTTTCTTTTCTATCAACCACTTTAAAATGACTGTTATAGAAGCGTTGTAGTAGCTGATGTGCTATTATTATTCAGAGCACTCAGAGTACTGGATGCTTTACCACTCAAGGCTGTGGCCAAGCCTCTTCCCAGTCCTGAAAAGCTTATAGCTTAATGGCAAACAAGATGCAATGAATAGGTGCTATAGAGCAGGTGCTATAAAGAGGAAGCAGGAGGATGTGGTACAAGGTTTCAACTTGCCTTTGATCTCCCTGGGTCTATAGGTGGATCCTTAACTTTACATCTTGTGCCTGCTCTGTCGGCTTTCCTGTGGATTAGATCTTCCTCCACTGCAGAAACTGAGATAATCTGAACCAATGGTCTTAAGTAACAATTGCTATTGACAGGTATGCACACACAGAACACCCCATGAAGCTGTTTATATTCATATTGGCTCAGGTTACACTGTGACTATGTTTACATTCCTGTGACTGCAAGGTAGCTTTAAACCAGCTAGCTTGGGTATTGGGAACTGTCTAGCCACAGCAGCACAAAGCTCATACTTACCCATGCAGGAGTATAAATATATGGATGGTTGATCCATGCTGAGCTCTATGCTGCTGTACTTAGATCGCTACCAGTATCCTGGTTAGCTGGTGTAACACTAGCATAGGTAGGTTTATATACATTACATTGGCTGTGGTATAGACATAGCCTGAGGAATAAAGTTGATACTTGCTTTCAAGATCTATATGTTCATTTTTCCATGATCAGGGTCATCTTTTCCCATATGTCTGGTGCCATCTCTTTCCAGAATGGGAATTAATATGGCTCTGAGAGCTTGTCAGCTTCCTGAAAGACAAGCTCTCGTTCAAACACAAGCCACTGGCACCGGTACAGGAATCACTGGGTGAAATGCTATGGCTTTTGGGAAGCAGGAAGTCAAACAAGATAATCACAATGACCTTCTGGCTTTAAAGTATATAAAATCCAGCCTCTGCTATTTTCTCAGGGCCAAATTCTGCACTCAGATGAGTGAGCAAGAGACTCAGAGCCACA